TGAACATGAAGGGATAATTCTCGTCGCCGGGGAAAGGTCCCGTTCTCGGTGCGAGCCATCCCCAGAAGAAGTATGAAGAGGCGATGCCGACAAGGAATGCGGCTGTGGAGCCTGCAAGCGACTTGCCGCGGCGGATGCGCGGGGTATAAGCGCCGTACATGCGGCCAAAGGTGCTGGCGGCGGTATCGCACCAGCTGAGCAGGAGGATGGCCATCACACCGACGTCCTTGGGCATGAAGCGCATCGAGATCCACGCGCCAAGCAGGTAGAATATGACTCCGTTCCATCCGGCGTATTCGCTCTCACGCATCAGCGCGCCGAGGACCGAGACGTAGAATCGGTTGAAGGAGGCGTAGTTGTGACGGAGGTAGTCGGCGGTCGTAATGGGCATCAGCGCAGCAAAGAGCCACGGTGCGACTGAGCTTGTCTGGATACCCGATACGTAGAGCCACAAAGTGAAGAACCCGATCGAAACGTGCAAGATCTTTCTGGGCACCTCGTGCTTGTGTACAAAGGTCCGCCACTTTCTATGAATCGGTATCAAGCCCAGCGGACTGGGGCTTCGACTGAAATCGCGCCAACTCCATCCCGTAGGAGCGGCAGAGGGAGGGGCCAGGTGGCCGTTGGCTGTCGTAGCTTTGACTTTGCCGTTCGCTTCGCCGTTGGTGGTGACTTCTTCCGTGATCGGTTCGCTCGGGATGATGGGCGATTTGCCTCTCTTGCTCTGCGACTTGACCGTGGTCATGGGCGTGATTCGGCGGGACTCGATGGGTGATCGACTTCTCGTGCGCGATCTGCGCATTGTCGATGGCTCGTAGTCATCCTCTTCTGCCCGCTCCTCCAGCGGCTGGGGCGTTGTTCGCCGCTTCTTCGCCGCAGACCTCGTCACCGGGCCAAAGTAGTTATCTTGTGACGCTGCATCAATCTCTGAAGGTGTCGGGCTTGGGGAGATAACCCGCGGGGTAGAGGGTATGGCGCGGACGGACGACATGTTGTAAGGGAAGGGCGGGAGTGCAGGACAAACGACAGCTCCCGTAAAGAGGCGTTGAAAGGGGAACAAGAGTCGTCTCAGCGGCCAGAGTGAGGAGTGGAGATGTTTGTCTCTTCTAGATAAACGGGAGTCGTGGGGGTCCAAGGCGGGAGAGACGGAGGCGGAGTCGGCGCGGGCGTGGGTGTCGTAGATGGCAAAGGGTGCTGCCGGTGAACAGCGATTACCGGTATTCCTTTGATGGCTATGCTGCTGGGCCTGGGGTTGGAGGATGGAGGCTGGTTGGGCTATTGGATCCAGGGTGATGTTTGAGAATGCAGCAGAGAGCAACTCCGCCGCATGTTGAGCCGGGTTGGTACGGGGGGGAAGAAGACCACGGAGACATGCGGTCGGTCAGCAGGCAGCGTGACATGTGTTTAAGGACGAGGTGTTTGGACCGGATCGTCGGTGTCTTGTTGTGCTGCGAGTCTGCCGATTCCTGGGGACTGGGAGAGAGGATTTTTCGCGGGCCAAGGTACCGAGTACTTGCAGCGACGTATCTAAACGGTGTTTGGAGACCGGCCGCACTGTTGCTTTGGTAAGCCGTCTTATCTGCACTCGAACTTTGTACCTAAGGTAGAACCGAAGAACCTTAGTAAGGAAGAGCCTCTCAAGGTTACCTTACACTCAAGGTAGATACTTCCAATACCTGAGGTCCTCGAGGTAGGTGTATTGGGTACATCTCTAGGAACCCTTGGGGATGTCGAAATGCAATTCCCGTTTCTCATTCATCCATTTCCAACATGGAGATTAAACAATCAACCTTTGCGGTTCTCATGAGATATGAGCACAAGCAAAAGTCAAGGGTCATCCAAAGACAACTCTCAGGGTGAACCACAGTCTGAACAAACCGCAGCACAGTGTGCCGAGGGCCGAATGACCAGCGCCCCGAATCCCACTCCAATATGTCCGGTGCACGCGACTACCCAGGAATGGCCGGCCTGTCGGGCGCACCGCTTCACTCCAAGTCCATTTGGCAGGGGTTTTTTTCAAGGGCACGATTCAATCTGCGGTGATTTTTTTTCTCGTTTCCTCCTCAGTGGGCTGCGCTACGCCGTTTACTGCTGCAAGCATGTGAAGCCATCTCCGGCCGTCCCGCCGGTTCCATGTCCTTCTCAGGCGTGGCTCCTCTTCTCTGCACGCGCCGGGTGGGTTCGACCGGTGGATGCACTTCATCCCGTCTCTCCGCTGCCGAGCTGCCTTATGTAGGCTGCCTGTACTCGGTACGTGCACAAAGTGTCAAAAGACATGCAATTCTGCGTCTTCCTTGTTTTCCAGACCGCTCAACTGCAAAAACGGGCTGAAAGTTTTGGGCGAGATGTCAAGGCGAGTGGCTGAGGACGGTTGGGGGTCAATCGGGATGATATCACTGGCTTTGTCCGTGGGCGGTCGGACAGAGACATGGCGCCAAGGAGGCCTCGAATGCTGTCACCGCCCCACGTGAGCACACCCACCCACCTGCGGCTCGATAAGAGTGCAGATAAGAGGAGGGAACCCTCGATGCCGTATCGATAACGATAACGAAAAAAGTTTCTGGAAATCGAGCCCCTCCAGCTCGGACGGCCTCATTGAAGTCGCATGCAGCGCAAATCCTCGGTGTGCCTGACACCCTCTCGATATTTGTCCCAGACCAATTGAACCATGGCGCCCGAAGAGAAGAAGAAGGACCCTAGGGCCTGGAGAGGCCTCACCCCTCCCTTGGCTGAGTACGATCCCGTGCCACTGCTTCTACCTGCGCATCCAACTAACATTCCCCTAGATGGATCCTCGACTTCGTGTCCAGCCAAGGCTTCCAGCGCATGACGCCCGTACAAGCAGCTTGTCTGCCGCAGTTCCTCGGAAATAAGGATGTTGTAGTCGAGGTCAGGACAAAACCGACCATACTAACAGCTTGGAATACTGACTATCCCAGGCTGTCACCGGCAGTGGTAAAACGCTGGCCTTCCTCCTCCCGATCGTACAAAAGCTCATGCGCCTCTCCGAACCGACGAAGCGCGGCCATGTCTTCTCTATCATTGTCTCCCCGACCCGCGAACTTGCCATCCAGATCCATGCCGTTCTCCAGTCCCTCGCCGGCTTCCACCCCCCGTCCGCTGAGATACTGCCCCACCTCAAAGAAGACGAAAAGCGCCCCGACACGACGGTCCCGGTCATCGTTCCTCAGCTGCTCGTCGGCGGAGTGACCACCACACAGCAAGATCTCAGCTACTTCGTCAGACATGCGCCCAATATCTTGGTCTCGACACCGGGAAGACTTGTTGAGCTTCTCGCGTCTCCGCATGTCCACTGCACATCTTCCACTTTCGAAATGCTGGTTCTCGACGAGGCGGACCGTCTGCTGGATATGGGCTTCAAGCAGGATATTCAGAGGATTCTGGGATATTTGCCGAAGCAGAGGAGAACAGGCTTATTCAGCGCTTCGGTGTCGGAGGCAGTGTCACAGATTATCACCGTCGGTCTGAGGAACCCGGTCAAGATTGCCGTGCGCGTGAAGAGCTTGAGGGATGGAGGAATCATTGAGGACCGAAAGACACCAATCAGTCTGCAAATGTCCTACCTCGTCACACCAGCAAGCCAGAAGCTCCCGGCACTTAGCAAGATTCTCGAGAACCTCAACCCGCGGCCACAGCGCAGCATTGTCTTCTTGTCGTCCTGCGCTGCCGTCGACTACTTCCAACACGTCCTTCCTACCATCATGCCGGAAGGCTTCACACTCGTACCTCTGCACGGAAAGCTCCCCCCCAAGGCAAGAGAGAAGAGTTTCAACAAGTTTGTCAACTCGGTTTCGCCATCCGTATTGCTGTGCACAGATATTGCAGCGAGAGGTCTCGATATTCCACAAGTAGACTTTGTCTGCCAGGTTGATCCTCCCTCAGATCCCAAGGTCTTCATCCACAGGAGTGGACGTGCCGGAAGAGCAGGCAGAAAGGGACTGTCAGTCGTCTTCCTGCAGCCCGGTCACGAGGAAGACTACATTCCCTTCCTCGAAGTGCGCAAGACGCCCATCTTCCCCCTGACGAAACCTGAGATCACCATCACCGAGGACGAAGCCAACGAGGCATCAGAAAAGTTCCGCGACGTCCTCCGCAGCGACCGCGCCTATCACGACAAGGCGCAACGAGCTTTCGTGAGCTGGGTACGCAGCTACAACGCTCACCTGACGACCTCCATCTTCCGCGTCAAGGACCTCGATTGGGCCGACCTCGGAAAGGCCTGGGGTCTGCTCCGTCTGCCGCGCATGCCCGAGACGAAGAACTGGGAGGGAGACAAGTGGCTCGGCAACGAGGACTTTGACTGGGAGAACTTCACCTACAAGGATAAGACGAGAGAGGCTGCGAGATTAGCAGCGGCAGAGGCGGAGCGCAACGGCGAGAAGGCTGCTGCCGCGGACGAGGTGAAGCGCAAGCGCAAGACCAACGAGGCGTGGAGCAAGCAGACGGAGAGGGACGACGTGAGGGTGGAGCGCCGCGACAAGAGGAGGCGCAAGAGGGAGGCTGAGCGGATGTCGACCATGACGGAGGAGGAGAAGATCAAGGCGATGGAGCTGAATGAGATGATTGCGGAGATTAGGAAAAAGAACCAGGCCAAGGCAGCGGCCGGCGGGAAGGACGATGAGTTTGAGGGGTTCGATGATTGAGAAGCGTCTGTTGTAATACTATCCGTCGATGTCGTTGATTTCCTGTTCGGGGGATTCCCGGCCCACGGCTCAAAGAGTGGAGGAAATGGAGGCGATACCCCCACGAACGCTTTTTTTGGCCTCACACGATGCAATCTCACGAGACCCTCTCTTCCACCCGCCCCATCCCGTCTCCGTCCTCGTCGCCAACCTTTTTGGCTTTGAGTTCTACGTTTCCACAGCGGAGACGAGGCGAAATACAACTCACACAAGAATGACTCACTCCCACACTGGCCCTTCTTGAACAGAAACAGTGAACAGGATGTCATCAACAAGCAATAACACAAGCACAATAGCTCAGGGGTAGAGCGCTGGGCTCATAACCCAGAGGTCCCTGGATCGAAACCAGGTTGTGCTATTATTCCTTTTGCATTTGTTCGTCATTTTTGGAAAAGAAAGCCATGGAGAAGCAGGAGTCAAGCCAAAACGCCCCGAATTCCTTCGTACACTTAATTCTCTTACACAATACTCAAAACCCTGACCCGCCCCCCGAAAAATACAAATCTAGACCTGCTAATGAGAAGCTTGACGTTGAATCAGAGTTGGCCGTGCGTCTTGTCATTCTCTCCAATGCCTCCAGTTCTTGGCCATGGCCCTCATTCATGCTGGCCCTGGAGCCGACCCCGTGATCATGTTTCTTTCTTTGACCTGACATGACTATGTCCGACGATTCATGCCTTGCATTGACTGAGACGCTCCTGTCAGACGATACGCACTCGTTCGAGGAACTCGCGATGCCCAAAACGCTTCGAGGATCAGCTGTCTCACAGTATCTCTCCCATTGAGACCTGGGCAACGAATCCAGCTTTGCAAGCAATGCCTCGTCCTCTGGCTCCCATTCTATGGTGTCCTTCAGAAGCTTTGCGGCGACTTGGTGGCCCTCCGCTAGTGCGAGCTTGATGGCTCGAAGATAATGAAGCCTACCCTTTCCAGTCGTGTCCGTTCCCTGCAGCAGCAGGAATTTTAGCATGTCTATCCTCCCGTTCTCGGCTGCCCCTTCCAGCGCAGTTCTTCCGCCTTCATAACAAGCTCCAGGAGCATTGACGTTGGCGCCAAGATCGATGAGCTTCTTCGCGAGCCCAAGTTTGCCATTGATAGCCGCAATTTGCAAAGCGGTTGCTCCGCCGGTCCTTGCCGCGGGGGCATCGACACTGGCATCTAACTTGAGCAGAAAGTCTATCATGACCAGGTTGCCATCCTCGACTGCCCTTTGCAGAGGCGTTCTTCCAAACCACATAGCGTCATTTTTCTCGTTGACGTCGCCACCAGCGTTAAACAGAATCTGCACTGTTTCTATGCTCTTGGACGAGACTGCAGTTAACATCAATCCCTCTGACTTGTCATCAAAACAGTCCTTTCCCAACCTGTTACTCCGAAGCAGTTTCTGAAGCAAATTCAAGTCTCCCATTTTGATCGCAATGGAGACCGTGAGCTTGTCAGGTTGGTGGCCATGTTGCAGAAGTTGAGATATCGACTCCATGGACCAGAGCGCCATGACTAAGGGTGACGCTACCAAGTCAAATCCGTCATCTTGATGCCAAAAAGGCAGTCCATCAATTAGCGTTCCAGCCACAGCGTCTCTGATAGAGGTTTTTAGACGCAGAATGTTGTACTGTACCCAATCTATGTCTGTGTTTGGATCTAATCGCCTCGGGAGTCTCGCTAAAGCTGGTGATGGTTGTATCTCGGTGAGAAGCAAGTCTAACAACTCTGCCCAGTCGAACCAGGCCGCAATGGCAATGGCAGACCCTTCAAGGAGAGACGCAATTTGTCTTCGATCTCGATGCTTTAGGAGCCTCCTCGTAACATCAAGGTCCTCATTCTGAATTGAGAGCAAGACGCTAGCACATAAAGCGCCAGCGTCGTACTTGTTGCGATCTGTTTCCATGCAATTTTCAAACAGCTGAAGAGAATCGGTGAGCAAAGCAACCTCGAGCATAGACATTGGTTGAGGGCGCTGAGCTACGCCTAGAGTATCGAGTCGGAGAATTTTGTCCAAAAGTTCCCAGCGACCAAGTAATATGGCTTGCTGGGCCTCCCAACCAGCAAAACGTGCACCTTTGTGAAGCAAAATTGATGCAATTTCTTGACTCTCCAGGGTTTGAGTAGAGTCGCTGGTGTCATCCACTGTCAATGCTGCCTGGAGAGGAGTACGTCCATCCTCTCCGCGCCAATTGGGATCCGCACTGTCCATGGATATTGCGGCCAACTGAACAATCAAAAGACTTTTAGGATTGCAGCTCCCGTAGTAGAACGCCCATTCGGGTACAAATACCCCTTGAGAGATAAGATAATCACAAATCCGATGGTCCTGGGCTCGCAGGATTGCTGCCCCAATCGGACTGTGGAAGAATGAAGAGAACTCAGTCCAGCTGCGCTGTTCTGGTTTCCAGTGTGGATGCCAAAGTTTCTCGCCCCATCCTTCATGTCCCTCATGTAGTGCGAGGCCACGATGAACATCGGCTTTGGTGTTGATTAATACTTGGACGGTGTCATAGCAATTGCTGAAGATTGCAAGATAAAGAGGTGAGGGCGTCTGGTCTAGTGAACCGCCACCTTCCACTGACGCTCCCGATTCCAAGAGGAGCCGACAAGTGTCGGCAAGCCCCCAATACGCAGCAACATGTAGCGCAGATATTCCGTTGCACCAAGTATTCAAAATATTGAATCCAATCTCGTGGAGCAGACGGAGAATTTTGCCGTGACCTCGCGATGCAGCAGCCAGAGGAACATCTGGCGCGATCAAAGAAGCCAGCGAGCGTGATGGGTAAAGACGCTGGACCTGCTTCAGCAAGTACTCCACGCGGCCTAGAGCCTCCCATTCGGATGAGAGCCCAGCAGCGCAGCCGATCACGCTTTGAGAGTTGATGAAAATAGACAGTCTAGAGCTCTTTGGGGTTTCAATCTGGTGTAAGATTGATCCTCCGCTCTGAACCAGAAGGTCGATATCGATCAGAGTCAGTTGACTATGCTCAACCGCCAACATAAGTGCAGAGGGGCCTTGAGATCCAGGACTCTCGTTCGAAGAAGCATTTTCGTTAAGCAGATGCCTAAAGAGGTCGTAGCTGTCCTCTTCAAAACCACCGTAATGCTCCAGGACAGACATCAAGGGTGTAGGTTGCGAGGGGTCGAAAGCAAGATTCGGATCAGCTCCCGCGTCGAGTAGTTGTATGGCAAGGGCTGGCTTTTCGCATTGCACAGCGAGTTGCAAAGGCGTGAGTAAGACGGATCCCGTAGTACTTACTACCCTTACGGGCGTATTTGGATTCTCGCCGGATGATAGAAGCCAGGTAATGAGCTTTGTCGTTCGAGTCTCCAGCTCTACCGTCAACTCGAGAGACCAGAGTGCATCAAAGCCATATCGAAATAAATTTTCAGCAATTGCAGAGATGGTCAAATCTGCTATACGAACGAGTTGGAGTGGCGACTTCATGATGCCAGACCGTTCAAGAGAATCCAGTATCAAAGTCCAGTTGTTGACCTCTTGAGCATCAAAGAGATTGTTCGACAATCGAAAAAGAACCAATTTCATGTATTCTGGCCATGATTCCTCGGTCGAGCCTTTGATGATCTTCTTCGCGCGTTCCATATTCTCTTGGCTGTGGCTTTCCGGCATGATGCAGCCAATTTCGGCAGCGAGTTGAGAGACACCCTCCATTGAAGCATTGTTCCTGTCTCCAAGAAGACTTGACAAGGCCTGACTCATCATGCATGTTTGAGGCGCGGCTATGGCATTTTCGTCTTTGACTGTTGTAGCGCTGAACACTAGAGAGCGCGATCAGTGTTTGTCTGATAATGGCGGCGTGTGATATGAAACATACGTTGCGCGAGCTTTGGTTGAGACTGTATCCATGGAAGACTGCTTGGCCATTCAAATTCCATTCGAATAGGAGGGGGCGTGCCGATGCAGATGTCTATACCCTCAGGGGGCTTTGGACTCGCCGCAACTAGAGATAAGTAAGTCACTGGCCTTTGCTTCAACTACTATCACAGACTAGCTGACGAGACTTCACACCTGGATAGTATTGCGTCCACGATATTGGTTGATGTCGGCTAGTCTCTTTACGAACTTTTGCAACATCAAGCACCTCTTTTTCAAGGACGACTTCCGTCCTCTTGCCAAGTCGCTCCCGTTTAGCCAATTGGTGTCCAATATATTGCCACACAGCCTGGCTCTTATTCTTGGGGACCTTTTTTCGGAATCCCCAGACTTTGATCTTGTACTCTAGCTGTGCTTTCCTGTGCAGTGTTAGTAGCTATGAGGCAAAGGAGGAGGCTGTCTGACGTCACGGGGAGCCCATGCTCTTCCAGCCACTGTCTGGTCTCTTGCAGAGACTTGTTCTTCTGTAATATCATTTGTTGAATGACAGGCTTGAATTTCTGCCACTCTGACATTTGAGCCCGTTTCTTTGGAGGAGTCATGGCTAAAAGCTGCAAAGCATCGGTGTCGTTAGTAGGTAGTGAATGACAGCAGAGACAAAAGAATATGGTGTCCGAACCGGGCTGGGGCGAACGAACTATTAATGTACAGACATCAGAGAGGTAGTGGAACAGAGTGCCTCGTCCTCAAACACACATGCAGCACAATCTGCGGTGCATCTGGTGTGTCGTTCATTGGCTGAAACCAGTATCTGAAGGATTTGGGAGGCGCCCAAAATCATTCAATTGGTTGAATCCGGTAGCTGAAAATCACCCCCCTCGCCTGCGTTGCTGACCATCCTTCAAGTCATGAGGAGGGGCTATGGAGGGGCTGCGCCTCGGTTCAAAGCCTTGAACGATTGGTCGAACCCATATCTGAATCAACCGGTATCTGAACTGGCCCATATCTGAATTTCCGAGTAACATGAGGGAGAATGCAGAACATAGGACCGCACAGTCGGATGTATCGATGATCTGTCCAGCAGAGGGAGACCTTGGACGTGATTGGCCATGGCCCAAATCTGAAGATTCAAACAAGAAGGTCTTCAAGACCTTGGGCGACGCAATGCATTTGTCACAGTCCAAGCAAAGCTAGACTCAATCCACTCTCTATGGCATGATCTGTGATAGGCCCGAGCCCAAATCTGAATGCTCATCGCCAGGGGCAAAGCTATGTTACGTCGTGCTGTGTCACTACCAAATTGATATATTAGAGATGCTTCTCGACTGAGATTCCGAGCGTCGTTACAGGTTGGACGGAACAACAAATTTCGGGCTCACCAGCTGTGCCTACATTTACCAACTGTTGAATGAATTACAACTTTCAGCAACCCACGATCAACATATACATGTTTCAAGATGAAGATTACCCTCGAAGCCATCATCGCCATTGTGACGCTTGTCGTCGGACTCCCATCAACCATCTGGATACTTTACAAATGCTGCAGTCGTCGCAATCGTAGAGCTTGTAAGATAGCGGTCCTTTTCCTCAATTCCCTAGATCGAATGCTAAATCTCGAAAGCTTCTCCTACGACATCCCGCCGTTCAACGTTCCAACCCAATGTACTTCCGTTCTATGTTTACTCCAACAGGCCAATTCGCGGTCAAAACCTGATGTCTTGGACTCTTGTTGCCCTATCTATTGATATGGAACCTTTTTCGAGCGAGACAAGTTCACCTCCGTGGCATCGATAGCCCATTGAGATCCGAAAACGACTTTTTTTTTTTTTTTGAACACGGTTGGTCGACTTGTATAGGTGTACCTTAAATGTATCATAATTTACAATGGGTTTCCTGTAAACATACAGCACTTGAAGTATAGGTCTCAACTAGGCGATTGGAAGCGATGATAGACATTGCTACGGAGTTATGGGGCCAAGGAGCATGTGCGGGCGCCGGGAGCATCAAGACCGCTATTGACAAGATAAAATCACATCAGGGTGCGCCTAGTTCAGACATGGAGTTTCAGGGTTCTCTTCTATCTGTAAATATTCCTAAAAGATTTGTCGATGCCACGTCCAGATTTCATTCACCGTGAACTTCTTCATCTTATCAAGCAGTTGAGGAAAAGGTGAAACAGAAATTTAGCAGGCCATTCAAGCAATCTGCAGCGTCTTCTGAGTATCTGTAAGCTTGTTAATGTGAGCTTCCCCGTTATGCTTTGTCGTGGGAGGGTAAAGAGGGTATCCCATCCCCCCCAACTGCTGGATCTTTGCACGATGGAACTTCTCAACGCCGTGTATTCAAGGACTCATCTACTGCTTCAGACATATGTCGATTTGAGGATTGAAACGTCCGGATAATTAGGGCATGATAATCGAATCGAGGAGAATTTGACTAGAGACATGAAACAAGTACATCAGGGCTTGCACTCCGAGCATCGTCTCTGACCAGATTTGGCCGCCAACCCGAGACATCCGAACTAGACATTACTGGTAAATTGCAGTCTGATGTCAATCTCTCATTCTTAAACAATAGAACTATCTCGCGAGCATTACGATATTGTACGTCTATAGTCTATGTTCGACTTCCTGCACCTTGCAACAGCAAACAGGGACAATGATCACTAGCCAGAAAACTTCCTCCTCGTGTCCAGGGTTGTCAAGAAGTTGTCCGCACATACAAATGGTCCAAGCCGTATGCCTAAAGTATCTCCATGTGTCAAGCATTATGTCCTCCCAGGTGGTGTGTGGCATAATTGTCACTCGGTCAGCCATCCCTATATGTAGGCTTGTCACCGGATATTCCTTCCAGCTCCACTTCGAACGTAATCACCGTTCTAGATCGCCATAGAGAGCCATAGAACGGCCGAGGAAATTTCTCAGAAATAGCTGAGTGATTCTTCGTGCTGGTATGACGTTGGCGGAGCGGGAATATTACTATTGTGCCTCACGTTAGCATAAATTACCTTCATGTTGCCGCAGCTGTTGGGCATCTTGATGTCTGTGAAAGACTTCTCCGTTACGGCTGCTCAGATGATAGACCAGAGATATCAAGCCCAGTCCCGCCACCTATCATACTCGCTCCTTCGGGGGATGCGAGGGTGTCGTCCGCCTTCTACATCAGCGCGATGCTAACCTCAACAGCAGCACGATACTAGAACCAAACAATTATCCCTGGGTAGACTGGTGCCAAGCTGGCGGTTCTGGGAGACGGATAGCAACACCTGACCTTGACCGTTTGGGGTATTATTCCATCGATCCAGTAGGTGCTGAAATTATTGGCGGCCACTGGAGCAATGCAATCTATATACACCTATCAGAACACGGTGCTAGGCTGCCTGAGCGGACTCTATATCATGCCACTTGCGACGTCCAGGAGCTCGGTCTAGTCAGAATATCTTTGAGAGAAAATATCAGTGTCAGCTGGCTCGGTCAGGACAAGAAAACGCCACTATTGAATTTGCTATCCCTAGCAATCAAAAGTAACAAGCCAGTCTCCAGAGAATTATTCGGTAATTGGTCATATAGTGTGTCTCTGTCTCGAGCTCTTTGGCGCAAGTGCTGTTCTAATGGGCGGTGAGGCTCAACTGGCAACGTTCCTGAATAGCTGGAGCCTTGTTGAGACCATTTGGCGCCATGATTTCGATGGATATATTCAGGATAAGAGTGCCATGTCTTTAATCGAGGCGGCATTCTTATCAGGTTCCGATCCTATGGTGCAACATGTCCTTGAATGGAACCCAGGAGTATATGATTCAGGCGCTCTATGTGCTGCTGTCCTCTTTGCATCGAACCACCAGAACACAACGTATCTCCAGAGGCCTTTACAAAATCGACCAAACCCAAAACAGGTGTCCCATTCAGAGCATAGAGCCTTTGGTCTAGCTGCTTGGAGTGGCGATATGGAAGTGCTGAAGACACTGTGCTGTCAATTAGGGGCATCGGTTGCAACAAACCTCACTTCTGATGACGTTGATGGACCTTACTATGATGCATTTGAAGGTGAAGTACATCTGAATGATTGGGAAAATGGAAATCATGAACTGCCGTTTTGGCATGATGATGACATCAACCTCGAAGTCACGGAACCACTTTCCTTCATTTTGCGGTCACTAACATGGATAACAAAACTCCAGAAACTCGGTTATCGCCATGATGAGCATTCAATAGCCGTAACCATCAACCCCAGTAATGAGGAGATCATCAAACTCCAGGTTCTACCTCGGGATGGCATCGATCCAGAACAAAACGACTTCCCTGATCCATTATTCCTTGCTGTGAGAAATGGAGATCTGGATCTCGTGAAGAATCCCTTATATACTGGAGAGGATGTGAACAGCTTATGCTATGTGGAAGCCCGCAGAGGAAGAAGTTCTCTAAGGAGGCTATAAAAGACGGGAAGCTCGCCATCATGGATCTTCTGCTAAAGGCAGGTGCTGAAGTCAACGCACCAGCAGCGAGATCGTTAGGGGCCACAGCCCTGCACCTTGCTGCGATCAAAGGAATAATTGGGACTGTGAGAATGCTAATCGATATGGGAGCTGATGTCAACGCACCTTGCGCAGAGGATGGTGGAAGAACTGCCCTGGAAGATGCGGCTGAGCACGGGAGGATAGACATGATTCAGTTTCTGTTGACAGAAGAAGCTGAGACTGGCGGGAGGAACCGACTGCATACCTTCGAGCAATCAAATTTGCAGAAGAGGAAAGGCATGTGGTTGCGGAAAGCATGCTACGACACCACCGCGATTGGACTGCTGCTGATGACAGGCTATGGTACGTGTTGGGTAAATCTGTTGGATGGCGAAATTATGGGAGGTTTCCTAGGCGTACGCTTGACGCGTTCGATCCCCTGGGGCTTTGGGATAGCGATGACGAGAGCTAGAATTCGCTTGAGCAGAAGTGAAACAGTTTAAACATGTCCAGTTACTTATAGATTGAAGTCATCCCAACTTAAAGAGACACTTCGAAAGAGCCTTGCACCAGTCGTCAGGCTTTGTTAGGCATTTTCCTCACTCATCTGTCTTCTCGTTATCGGGAACTCTTCTTTCGCGTTTGGGTGCAAGGAGGGGCTTTGCAAAGTCCAAAACCTCAAAGCCGCTACCATGTAGCTGCTGGTAAGATACCTGCTCCAGAATTAAGTACTTAGCTACGAAAAGTGAGAACCCGAAGCTAGCGAAGAAATGTTTGATGCGCCGATCCAGCTCTCATTAAGGCCGAAACCAGACATCACGAGTTTCGACGGGGTAGAAGTGATGACATATTCGAGATCAAAACCACTGACCGCTTGAGAAAGTTCTCATCTCGGTTATGGACAATCAGGGATACCTACGATAACATGAGCGCCTGTCCATTGCGAGGATAAAGTAACGATGTTCCAACACATAGCAAGTTAAGGACCGGAGCGCATGGCCCGACGATCAACTACACGGCGGAAGCATGTATCTCGCAAGAGGAAACAAATCAGACGATCACGACAACTCACACACATGCCAACCAACGCGCCGCCAAAAGCAAACGCACCTCAAAAGTCTAGACCTCACTCAACCACCTCACGGACAACATCCCGCTCTCCATCGGAGGCTCCCGCCAATACTTCGGCAGTTAAACCCCACAACCTTCATACCCCAAAACAGTAATTCTGCACATCACGCATCCATAAACTAAGGCAAGGTGATCAATACTCGCTCTAACTATCCAGGTAAAACCAAAAAACCTTTTAACTTACTTGCATCCTCTCGCCGATCACATCTCAATCCAGACCAGATGCAGTCTGCAACTTACCTCTAGTGACTCCGCCTTGGGGAAATCTCTCTCTGGCCTTCCCAATCGGGATCCAAAGAAATACTGTGTACCTGTGACGTTTAAACTTGCTCAGACGATGCAGCGAATGACAAAAGAGAGGAAGGAAACAGCTCCGCAGCGGGATGATGGAGTATGTTTCCTCCTTTGCTACACTACTGTATCGCTTCTGTCCAACGTGACTCTGAGACAATGGCGGTGAAGCTGCAAGACAGAGAGACAACGGGGATTGCCCGCGAGGCGCGCCTAATACCCTCTCGCAATAGACTCAACCTTAATTTCACTCGTGCAGTCTGCAGAAGCGCGCCCCTCTTATTTCTTTCGCCCTCTTAAAAACTCCTCTTTCTCTGGCACGTCTCCATCCAAATCCATCTTGTCTCTTTTCGAAAAGACCTGCATGTAATTCAGGACAAAAGTGAGGTAAGTAATTATAGTGCTCAGTGGGGCACAGGCGGGTTCCAGGTCCAGGTAGTCCACCGTCGAACACGCCTGCAATATCTAGCTTGCATATGTGATGCCGGTAAATACCTGCAATGAGCAGGCGGTTGAGACAAGGCGGACGGTGGGAACTGGGAATGGAGAGGGCCGCTGTCAAAGCGGGGGGAAAAGCGGGTGGATTGAGACCGGTGACCTCCCGCCATCACATCACATCGCTTGCGGTCTCTCGCGTATTACAAAGTGCTCCGTAGACTCGCCCGGCTGTTGATGCCCATGGCCCTAACAGGACGATCTGCCGAATATAGCTTCACAGCGCATCCACTCTCGTCTCCAGCATCATCAGTCGCCCGCCACTTGACTGGTATTCTTGTTTTGAGTTCATGGAGGCGGGTCTATAGTATGAACCGGCCAGCTTATTAAGTCATGGGCAGAAAGGCAGTAAAAAAGCCGTGGGTAATGGGCATTGGCATATACCCTCAATCAATCCCACGGCGGCAGATTGACGCATCCCCCATGCCTCAGCTCGCGTGGTCGGCTGGGCCTTTATTCACTTCCTTGTCTTGGCATTTCTTGTGTGCCATCCCACTGCCACTGCAACCCCAGGACTAGCCAGCCCTGAGGAGGGGGAGGGGGAGAACTGGGTGAACTGCCCGCCACTTTTCTGCCCATGGGTTGCAACAGTCGCTGTGCTGGTGGATCTTGAACCTCCAAGGCACGATGAGGTTTATTACTACATGTTCAATAAGATCTTGACAATGCTTAATCGCGTCGTCTGTTTGACAGAGTGACGAGATAACGAAAGACGGTGTGACGGGCGAGGTTGCACCGTCGCCGACACGTGCTATTACCCCGCGGCCCGCTGACACTTGGTGAACCCCCAGAGACCATCGCGAACGAGAGGGCGGGTGTTGCGTCTACTGCAACCACTCAGCGGAGTACTCGCCGGGGGCCCTATATCTCACATATGTCACTGATATGCTATCGGAAGCAGCGTCGATGGAGCCCGAGGAGTACTGGGAGAATATAATGCCGCGCTTATTGAACCGGGCACTGGCCGAGGTACGTCTGTACGGAGGGAGCGTGTCCAAGGACAACCAAACCGGTGACAAATGCGATGAGGGTATCGTTTGTGGTCCGCGTACAGCGTCGCCACGCCGACGCGTCGAACCAACGCTTTGCGCCTGCAATGGTGCGTGCTGCAATTGTTGATAGCGCTTAGTGGAGCAAAACATTTGCTTGACTGATACGGAGCATTTGTGGCACCGACCTGGAAAAGGGTTCTGGCAGTGCTGACGGAGAGAGGCACTGTTCACAGGAGAGACATGGGGCCAACCCAAGAAGCTGGGTTGGCGGAGTCTCGAGCTCATCGAAATCCGAAGAGCCTTGACAGGGTCGCCTGGTGCCGGTGGTTAGAGCTGGTCATAGCTGATTTTTTGGATGAGCAAGCATTGACAAGCATCGCGCACTCGGTGGCCACGGAGAGGCTTTGTTGCGTTTCCCACCATGGAAGAGGGGGACCGGATGATTTGCTCTCGGACGATTGCTTGCCGGGGCAATCGAGATGGGGTGACACTCGTTTGCAACATGCAGATAGTCGAACAGGTCCTTGGCCCGATTTCCTAGGGTTAAAGGGGGCCAATATGTGCCAGTTGTATGACTGAAGGGGTTTGCGGCGGCATAGTACTGTACGATGGTGATGCCAAAGATTCCGGAGGACGGACGGCATGATGGTGTCAGGCCCCCCGACGAGAGTCATTGGTCAATGCCCAGACCCTGGAGTGGGGGTTCATCCTCGAAGACCAGCCGGTTCGCAAAATAACAAGGTCGTTGATTATGATGGATTATGCCTTTTCATAGGCCTCCAAGGCATGTCCTGGTGGTGCCCGAACGGTGAACCCATCATCCTTATCCAGGCCGCGCGGGCTAAGAGAGCAAACGCGAGAGAACGTTGAATTGTCTATACATTGCTCCCCCATGGCACGGACAGTGTGACTTGTGCATCGTGTTAGTCATGATTCTTTGTGGCCTAGCAACGACATCGCATGGTGGTGGAAGCCGCGGAACTCCGGATCTGCAAGCCGGGCACGGCGGCCAGGACACACTTGAGATGTGACGGCCAAGAGATGGCATGAGCGATGGGAGGGTCACTAAGGTTATTAGTGAGGTTATCTGCCTTTCTCCGTTGCAGATCGCAGACAGTTTGGCAAATGATCCATTCTTTTTCGCAGACATCGCGATGAACTCGTATCTTCTTGTCTGAATACTGCTGGATCAGGCCTACGTGGGCCAGATACGCGTGGAAGACTGATTCGGCCAAGCAAAGATGACTGCCGAAGAGACGCAGCCCAAAGATCAACCGAACTATAAGTCACTGTTCTCCATCGGTGCTGTATGTTGCCTGTCGGTGCTTGACTCGTAAAATCGCAGCTGGAAGACATCCGGACCAGTGACTCGGGAGCCACAGTACCTAAATAGGATCGCTAGAGATGCGGGTTCCAACGCTCTGGGCCCGCATGCCGTAGAATATGTATCAGTACGGAGTACAGATCCTCACTACTCAGGATCATACAGGAGTAGCCGTGTGCGATCACCTGTACTCCGTTTTTCGATTCCGTGGAGTCGCACTGGCGTGGTGACTTATTCCCAAAGTTGGGCGTTGGGCATTGAGATCAGCAGTACAGAGCTGCTCTACCGCGAGTCACCAACAAACGATCCAGTACGGCTTGTCCGAGCCTCCCCTCAAGACCGGGAGCTGGAGAAAGAAGAAAAACAGAGCTGCAGACTGCATTTCAAGATCCACTGGAAATTGGGTGTAACATGTTCAGCATGACGGTGCGATCAGCTGACCAGCCGCCTCTTCGTTGGATCGCCTTTGGTGATTATCTTGGTGTTGTTTGCTTATTCTCCACACTATTGTTGGAGACGAGGGGCAGGCCCAATGGGTTTGGCACCGGAAAGACGCTGTAACACGACATCCGATCATGCCATCGAGTTTTGATACGTGCTTGCAACGGAGCCTTTCCTGAATGGAGATCCATTAGGGGTTGTAGACTGCAGCTCCATCTTGGCCTCGTCCCTGAAGTCGAAAGTGCGCTTGAGAATACGGCCGCTGTCTTCGTCATCCTCATTTTCTCGTTGTTGTTGCTAGGGCACAAGCCTTTGGTGCCGCAAACGGCGCCGTTAGCTCCCTTCAATTTGCCCTTCTAGACCGAGCCACGAAACGGCTAATGGAGACTGCTAAAATAAGCCATGGAAGACGCATCGGGACCGACAAGTTTGAAGCCTGCCCGCCGTGTACGCAGTAGGTAGTCCCGACGTGTATACTGTCGGTCGTCAGGTAGATAGTGTACTTCGTTCAAGGTGTTGATGGCGGACGTGTCCGCGTACTTTCAACTTTCAAGTATCGAGTGGCGTGCAGCCTTCGCCCCTTTGGTGCCTTACGGCGGGCGTTTGCGAAAAGTCGACTCTATCTCCCACTTCTCATCGTACTGGCTTGACGCTCAAACATTGATGGCGTTTCGCGACTGTCTTCTTTACTGTGATCTGGGCCGGACCCAAGCTTCTATCGGCCAGGACGATTACGCAGCAGAAGAGGAGAGGGACTTTCATTTTGCAGCCAGATATGGAGTTCACAGGAGAGAGGTTGCCAAATGGCCTGGCAGGGACTCTGGTGGCTGTCGCCGCTGGCCCCTGTAACAATTTCCGATCCTGGTCGCTGGTCATTTAACAGTGTGATATTAAAGGAACCCCAGCGGGCGGGGACGCCGCGTCTTTGATTGTCGACAGTGTCATCGTATCCGCGAACTGCGAGTTTGCGACCGCAGAGCGTGTCTGCTTGTTGACTTTAAATCTTCTGCCTGGGATCGTGAACACACTTTTCTCGCGATGCTGGTACCGCATCATGGATCAACCTTCCAGGCGTCTTCTTTGAAGCGCGTCGTGACTAAACCCCCACCAACGTCGACTACCCCTGCGGCTGTCTCTCTAGTGTCAGACGTGTTGGCGAAGATGGAAGACATCATGCTAGTGCCGCCATCAGTGATCTGTAACTTTGGCAAACAAAGCAGACCCCATCCGAGACTCGTCTTTCGTCATGACCTTGGGAGAGCGCAGACGAACTATTCCTTCAGATGCAGTTGGAATAGGAGGTAGCCGTTGGGAGGTGTGGACTTTGCTACAAAAGTGCGTCAGGTTTGAAGCCTCCAACTGAACTGCACTTGTCATTGACCGAAAACCAGGGAAAAGGTTTGCTAAGCGACCCCGTTGCTGTGCGTCTGCGGGGTATTTCCGTCCCTTCTTTCGGCCTTTCCTTCGTGATGGGTGCCACGAGTATTTTAGATGGCCGACGAGGGTTCGTGCTGTATTCCGAACTCCAGTCAGCAGTCCAGGGTATGGAGGGTTAATTAGTGTCCCTTTTTGCCCTGGTTATTGGACTATTGAGAACTTGAGACGTCACGACACGATGGGTAGATCATTCAGATTTGTCGCATCCTCCACTCTCGTCCTTGCCTCGGTTGTTGAGAGGAGAACAGACAGAGTCTGGCGAAGAGCAAGCTCAACGGTGTGATCTATAAGCATCTCTTGCAGATGCGAGATGCGTGCCAACCTTCCGATGTTCTGTCCTCAAGCAGGGCCTGGTTTTCCATGTGCACACAACCCTGAAAAGGACAATCGGTGTGTTCTTAAAGTCTTCTTCTGAGGCTTCGGTCTCAGGAACCAGAAGAGTCCTGCCAATCGTAGTCGGCAAAGCGGGTTACCATGACTGACAAGGGCTGGGCGAGAAGGTGATTGGGCCGAATGGATTCACGACGGTGCTGCAGTCTGCAGAGAAACAAGTGCAGATGCAGGTGCAGAGCAACAATGGGTGACCCGCGACTACAGCGTATCCGTCAGACGTACGCAGTACGCCAGTCTCCTGTGCAATCTGGCCGGGTGGTTTCCGTTTCTGTATCTGTCCCGTTACCCCCCTCTACGGGGTTGCGACCGAGGGTAACGAGCGTATTGGACTGATCTGAAGGCCGGGGCGGCACGGAGAATCTATCGGTAAGAGCCAACTGTGTCTTTGACACTGCTGTGATCGTCTTGGCCAAAGAGATGGGCCAAGTCGCAAAGCTGTATCCTCACTCCGTGGAGGTGGAAGCACGTTGCCGTGGGGTAGAGAAGCAATTCTGGATTTTTGAAGCATCCGTGCCATGTAGAGAATTGATTGGGACTCGGACGTGCAATGGGTCACGTTGTTCGAGGGATAAGGTCCTTGATGCTCGGATGCGTCGTTTCAATTTCAGTCCCGTTCAATCCCATAATCCCAGAACGTCAATTTGTCGGCCCGCGGCAAGCATCGGAGACGAGCGCGAAGGGACCAGGGAGATAACCGGTACCTTTGTCGCGTTGCTGAGCCTTCGAAGCTAGGCGAATGGTGAGAGAGGAGAGAATAAATGGGCAGAAGCGGGAAGACGGAGTGCACAAGAGGCAACTCTGAGTCTCAGATCAGTGATGGGTGGTTGAACCCCAGTACTCCGTATGCCGGCTGAGGTTGGGGATGGTGCTGGGGTTTGGCGTCCTGGCCTTGTCTATCGCCGCCTCGCTTGGTGATGTCGCCTCTTTTCGCTTCTGGGACTGATATCGGGCGGGATCCAGGAGGTTGGTTGCAGGAAATGACATCAACCGGGGGACGAGGATGCCGAAGCATGGGCCGTTGGCCATTGCGTCGATACTCAGCACAGAGTCGGGGACGCAGTACGGAGTAGGGATGGTAAACGGGTCAACCGCATGCTGAGCAGGGCAAAGCAGTGACATGGCGATGACGGCAAAGAGGGCAGCCGAACTCCGACAATCTAGAAAGCTTGGTGCACTAGGCCTCGGGGCCGGACACTGCGAGGTTGGACTCTGGAGGCTGGAGCTCGAGGCTCACATCGAGGGGAAACGCTCCCTGCATGGACGCTGTTGGCAAGGGAAGAGAAGGCAACGATGCGCGTATGGCGGCTGTGAAAGCTGTCGTCCCGTTTCTTTTTGTCTCGCCATGCTGCGTTGGCCGCGGCCGAAGGGTGCAGGCAAGCTATGAAGCCAAAGCAGGGCGACTCATCTTTCGTCACATGGTGCGGTTGTGGTGAGTCTTTCCTTACTTTGTGAGGCTCTCTCGGCTGGTAATTGGGTCGGCTTGGTCTCGTCTCAAGTCGATCAAGTCCCGTCTCCGTTCCGTGCAGTGGTTGTCTGTAATTCGGATCCGGGATCAGACTGAGCCGCGATAGAGAGCAGCGAGAGGAGAGAATGACTGAAATCAAGGTTGAAGCAACAAGACGGGCATCAATGCTGGACCGCACAAATCGGCCATCGTGAATGCCAATTGGAAGGCAAGGCAGCCAGTAGGAGGTAACAAGCAGCGGCAGCAGCAGCACTGTAGTCGGCAGGTTCATCGAGGTAACCCCGAGAGGGCAAGGGCGGCGCACCTGAGGTGGACTTTCACAGTTCCATGACACTCGGCCGGGTACATCGAGGATATACACAGGGGTACGTATCTACTGTGGTAGCCACCCTTGCAAACACAAGACCTCGAACTACGGGGCTCTAACCGTGCGCGCGGTACGTCCAGGTCGCGAGCGAAAGAGAGAGAAAAAAAAATCACACAACGGGTGGGCAGTCATCAGTGGCTGGCCCCTCCCCGTTGCCCTCGTTGTCGACCCCTGCTTGGTCTACCTTATAAGTATCTTCCTAGGTACTCTTCTGGATACGTACCGTTAGCTCAGTACAGATACCGGCTAGGTAGTGGTGGATGGCTAGGCCGGACCAGCCACAACACTGGAAAATGGACAAAGTGGGGTGGCGATGAGTGGTTCTTGCCAAAAACACATCAGCCCAATAGGATACGTATCTCTTGCAGGTAGGTATTTTAGCAGCTGCTAGGGGAGATTAGCGCATTGGGCCACCCAAGCAACCACGCGCACCACCTGCTCCTGCATCTTCCAGGTTGCGGTCAGTCAGCATTGGCCATCCAAAATTGTCCTCTCAAGTACGGATACCTCGCACAATAAGGTACCTATCTATCTCAAGCTCATTCTTGCTACCTTACTAGTACGCGCATCTTGCTGTGTCAAGGGAATGAACCTCGAATCCATTGATAGTCCTAGAATAGCAGTAAAATACCAAGTTGGCAAACATCTCTGTACGAACACTTCATACTGATGTGAGGTGAGGTAAGGTGCAATTGACCAACCATGCCCAGCCGGGTTCCCTGTCCTTATCCCTGGCGTCCCCTGTCCCTGATCTCCCACCTGACAGAGAGACAGACGGAAGGAACATGAACAGGGGAGTACGTACCGGTACCTTGCGTCGCGGTTCACCTGCACTCAATCAACTCCCGTCCCACGGGCCACCAACTCACTTTGACTGACTGAGTTGAGTGACTGCACTGTTTAACTCCATCGTTTTGCATTACTAGAGGATTGCCGCAGTATATATAGACGCTACCCTACCCTCGAATTCCGTACTATTTAACCTCAACCCTTTTCTCTCCTATCCTTTCCTCTATTCTACCCTCTTCCTCGTTAAGGGATTATTAAAATTATAGTTTCGATAGCTTATTAATAAGCTAGTATTACTATTTAAAAATAAGTAATTTACTCTTATATATAAGTACTAAGAGTCTTATTATTATAAAAATAATAATAAATATACTAGAGTACTTAAAAAAGCTTTTTAATAAACTTTTAATACTATTTAAAGTAATTATCCTCGAGCTATAAAAAGAAGCCGAGGTATTATATTAATATAGCCCTATCTATTTTATTAATACTAATAATACCTTTTTTAATATAAAATATATTAATAATACTCTATAGCTATATTACTATACTTTATAAATCGTATTTAATAATAATAAGGATTTTAACGTTTTTTTTTAAGTTTTTTATTAAAATTATTATCGTAGGGTTAGTTTAGTTATTAGTATTTTAATAAGTATTTTAACTTAACTTAAAGGCTTTTATAGCTCTTAATAAAAGGTTTTTAAGGGACTTATAACTAAACTTTTTATTTATTATAAATAAAGTTATTATAATTAAAACTATAATAATTAAAGCTATAATACTACTTATAAACCTTAATAATAAGTAGTTAGTAATATAATTTTTTTTATTTTATAATAAGCTTAAAAAAGTATCTTAATTTAAGTACTAAGTAAGTACTATATTATTTTATTAAAACTATATTCTTATACTTATGACTTAGAAAGAATTAACTTTCTTTGATAACAAGGTACTCAGAGTTGAGTGACTGTCTGCCCAGTGCCCATTTCCCGGTTGTGTTCCTCGCTCCCCCATCCATGATCCTGCGTCCTACCATCCTGGTCTTTTGCGGCTTGTCGTTGTTTCTCTGGCCGCTTCCTGGTTGCTGGTGGTTGTTGGTCTGGGCCTGGTCTGGCCTCTTTCCCAAGTCTCCTTCCGCCTTGCTTTCTTCTGTGTTTGTATCCTTCCCTACGTATCTGTACCGTTCCTTCTTCTGCCTGGGTCATTGTGTAAGGTACATACACACCAAGGTACTCTCTCTCGCCTTTCCTTCCTCCATCGTCGTAGTTGTCCATTCCTCCTTCTCTCCACCACTTACTGGCGTGTAATTACCTGCCAGACGGCCACGGAGTACGGAAATACTATCTCAAGTTCCTCATTCCTCCTTTCCGTTCTCGAGACCTCGAGACCTCGAATAATACACTTTGTACGAATAATTCAACAACTCAAGGCAACAGACAATCATAACGAACCAGCGTCCGCTGCACGAGAACGAGCGCATCCTCCGAGTCTCCGGCCTCCTTCCTGCGATTCACAAATCACCAACTCGGCCCTGTGTTTCTGTTTGTGCGTCGAAGCGCATTCGCATTCCACCCTCTCTTCCTCGAGTCTCTCCAAGGTAGCCCGCGACCTGCCTTCGACTCTCCTACTCTCGCACAAGGTCTCAACTTTCGGTAATCTGTGGCCTTGGTCTTGGACTATGCCCGTTGGACGCTTGTGCTTGCCTTTGCGTCTCTGTCTCTATTGAGCGAACCCTGTGAGAGGTGTCTGGTTGCAAAACACTGCCGCCCTCACCACCGCCGCCGCCGCTTGCCATTGCTTCTTTATGGCGTCAAAACGTACGTTCCACTCCCACATGCACACTGAGCTCATCTTTTTTGCCTTTTTTCCTCCGAGCGTCAGACCCGACCCATCGTGCCACCCTGTGAGCTGAGTTGGTCCCTGGATCTCACGGACCCGCGAGGGCCCTTTACGGAATCCAGTATAGCACCACTCGAGTGTCCATGACCTCGTCCCGAGTTTGGTGCCTACCTACGTACCTCACCTCGGGGCTCTGACACACACACAAACAAATGCGCCGCTTCTTAGCCCGTCTCTTGTCTCTTTTACCACTACCCTACTTCCCGCTCCGAGCCTCATTCCTTCCTCCACTCGGCTGCACCCCAATCTAGTCCGACTGCATCTTGTTGTGTCTCGCCAAAAAGCTGACCGAATGCCTTCGCGACCAGTCACCCCAGCGAGCAACACCCGCTGCCCGCAGCTGTAATCGAATACACGCGATACCGGCCATGGAGGCCACCGAATCGCGGTCCTCGCACGATGGACTCGCCTTCAGTGTGCGCTCTCCGCAACGCGACCAGACTCCGCGCAGTCCGCTGAGTCCCAGAAGCCCAATCGCCCCCCGCGACTCGAGATCAGGACGGCCGCCGAAACTCGCAACCGGAGGAAAGGAACCCCAGAGTGCCATGACTGCTGGTTCTGGAGGAAAATGGATAAACAAGATGCGCCAGCCAGGACCCTCAACAAGACCACTATTACCAGCCACAGAAAGGATATCCGAGGAGGAAAGGAATCAGGTCCCGATACGCCGCATGAGAGCTGATAGCTCTGCCGATGACAAGTTTGAAATCGCCCCCGATGGAGGCTCTGCTGGACGTGAAGGACGTCAGTTCACCGTTGCCAACGTGGGCAATAACGGTCGGATATATCTGAGGTGGGTTGCTTTCATGACTGCATGCGGTGTTTGTTGATTCAGTACCTCTCACATGGGCGGGAATGCTAAGACCTCACCACAATCTTACTCGGGTTTCCGAAAACGTGCTGACAATAAACAGACCGACGGTTCGTCCTGCCAACCAGAGATACCCTCAGCCAAATTTTGTCTTTCCCATAACGCCACCTGGGACGGCTGGTCTGGATGCCTTGACCGAAAAACAGAGGCAAAAAGACGCAAGCGACCTTCACTTGAGCCAATGGACCGCCACGCCACCAACTCCTGCAACGCCTGCAACGGCTGCCACTCCCCCAACGGCGAGAAACAGTCGGTATTTTTCTGGCCACGCCCCGAGGCCCTCTCAACACAGACGTGCTCATTCCGACTCGACAGCTCATGACGGCGCCACTACGAGCAGGGACTCCGAAGCTGAAGGCTTCAAAATTGTCATCTCAAAGCCGGGCGATGAACGGCGCGCCAAAACTATGGAGGATCTGGATGCGCCTCACATCCCCCTCCTAGACATTGAAATTCCAAACTGGAAATTAGGCAACCCACGATTCACCGCCAGAGGCACTGCCTTCTTCAGAGGATCGAGTTACGCCCCGACAGAAGAGTTTCCCCGCTCCAGTAACGTTTCTTTCCTCCATCGGTCTCAGACCGGCGAACTTACTCCAAGAATACCTGCGTCAATAGCGTCCAAGAAGCCTAGTCCTATCTCGATTCCTCAAATACGCCTGCCGCCCATGGAACCCGCGAGACACAATGGCCCCCTCAGTCCCGCTCCCATGACAACACCTCGGCTGCCTGCAATCCGTTCAACCTACATGTCGACCCATCTGGTCATCGAACCAGCCATGTTCGATGCCCTCACCTTCAAACCGACATGCGACGACAGATCGATAGTGCGATACTCTCCGGCTACGGGTGCAGTGACAGCTGCTACCCCGCCTCGTCTCGTGGCCGAGTTCACCTCTCCAAGCTTTCTCGACTATGAACTCATCTCCGACTTCTTCCTCACGTATCGATCCTTCCTTGAGGCGGGTGATCTGCTGAAGATGGTAATGGCGCGCCTGCGATGGGCCTTGGGCCGAAATGACGAGATTGGAATGGTGGTACGAGTGCGAACTTTCGTCGCCATGCGTCATTGGATCCTGAACTACTTCATGGACGATTTCGTCATCGAATACGGCCTTCGCGTATCGTTTTGCAACCTCTTGAACGACATGGTAGACGAGCTATCAACAGATCCTCGTGGCTGCAAGGTTCAACTCAAGATCTTGGCCGAGTTGAAGAAATGTTGGCGGCGAGTATGTGCTCAGTTCTGGGATGGACCGGAATTCGACCCTTCTCTCGGCGCCAACGTGCCGATAGCTCCTGGCGGAATCGCAGGTCACAGAAACGCCGGCCTAGATCCTTC